CAACAATACTACAGTGAGAATAAAAGTTACGCCTTCTTTCTTTGCTTGAACATTTGGGCGGCGTTATGCAAATCTTCCCGCATAGTGAGGTAGATATGTGGGGGCGTGTTCGAACGAGCCATTTTAGGTCGGCGTGGCTGACTCTTAACTTTTATAAAGAATATCTCTTTGGATTTGAGACTTTAGTCTTTGCAAATTTACAGATCTTCTTTATACACCAAGAGCTTGTAACACTCCAAAGAGAAAGGAAAAAATGAAATCGCATCATATGACCCCTTTAAGAAAACCAATGTAAAAATGAGCAGCAGGGCTCAGCAATTGCTCCATTTCATCATAATACACTCCCCCTCATGTTCCAACCTTATAGCTTTCAATTTCTTTCATCCTTGGAACACAAAAGGAGACTTTTCAAAACTTCTTCAAAAAATGCTTGTACAGAGCAGCTCGGACATTCCATTAAACATTTCCTTTTGTGTTCCATCGAGAAAATAAAGTTAAAAAAGTAAATGTGTGCTGTTCTTTTAACCCTGAAAATCCTGTTTAATGAACCTAAGACAAAATATAAAAATATAAAGTTTTTTTCTTATGGCTAATGTAATATGACACTGAAGAATAAGAAAACACACACACACAATATTCAGAGGTCCAAACTGAGCAAAAATATGCAATTTGATAGATTTGCTCATATTTACATGGCCAAAATGTAAGATGAAATTCTGATGTATTGTAATCAATGAACTCTTTATAAAAGTATAACAAACTTACATACAATACATATAAATATCAGTTTATCAGTTTATATCTCCCAATAATATGTCTTAATGAGACAATATTTAGTGATTGGTTTTATGATCAAAGCTCTGTAGTTTTTATTGAATGTGTGGAGGGAGACATTTAATGCAATGCAATATACAATGATGATTGAAAGACATAAATAAACATTCCTCAATAGCCTAGTGTATCATATCTGATACATTTTATGTTCATTTCGGTTATTTTTCCTAACCGACGCTCGTTAACCTATTGTTAACCGACAAGATTATTTTAAATTAGAATTGAATTAAATTAGAAAGGATAAGTGTCTGTGACCCGTTAAAAAATAATAACATTTGTTTTCCGGGGATTAATTTTACATGCGCAAAAAGCAGCAAACAACAGAACATGAGGATTCACATGGTCTTCATATCACATCACGCACCTGCAGCGCTTCTGCGAGCGGTAGCCTATAGCCTATATAACGAATAAATAGGCCTATACGAGAAACATATTTTTACTTAAATAATAAATTAAGAAAATGAAAGAAAAACTGTGCAACAAGTAGCCTAGTATGCAGCGTTTCAGTTCATTTCTGTGCTGCGCGA